TTTTGGTACCGGAGATCAAACTCAGGTCCCTGTGCTTGCGAGGCAGGTGGTGGAACCAGTGAGCTAAATCCCCGGCTCAACATTATACATTTTTAACTCAATCTCCCGATAACCTAAAAATAATAAAAATAACATTATTGCTGAATGTGGTGGTGCACACTTATAATCCCAGAACTTGGGAGGCTGAGGCAGGAAGATCACTGTGAATTCGAGGCCAGCCTGGGCTATATAGCAAGACCCTACCTCAAAAATAAATAAATAAATAATCATTTAAATAATACAATTTACATAGGACTTTCACGTATATTTTTGCATCAAAGAATCCTGTGAGGCATCTCTTGGGCTTCCCCGGTACCAGGGTACCTTTCAGGACCAGGTGGGTGCTCAATAACCACAGTGCTCCACACCCTGCTCACCTCTGGGAACAGAGCTCGCCCAGGAAAGCGCATGACTTGAAAGACAAGGCCAAGGTGAGGGGCACGCTCTGTTCTCCAGGTAGAGCAGGGTCACCTGGACTACTGATAATCTGCTGAAACTGCCTGGCTGTCCCATTGCACTCAAGTCTGCCTGTTATGGGGAGACAGCAAAAAGAGACAGAGAATAATTTGTCATGACGACTAAGAAACTGACAGCGTATCGGGGAGGGGATTAGCAAGAGCCCATACCTGGAGGACCTGGCGCCCGCCCAAAACCAGCTATCACTCACAGGCAGTGCAGACAGGGGCCCAGAGAACTCCGAACACTCCTGCGGCGCTTTCTCTTCAGTGCACCGACAGGCAGACACTGAGACGCCTCACGCCCTGGCCACGGCCGTGAGCACAGCTGGGCCACACTGATTTCCTTCTCCGAAGACTGCTGAGAGAAGCCCAGACCGAAACACCTCATTGCAGTTCCCGAAAGTAGTCATCCCCGGGTCCCCACAGAGGGTCAGTCCCAGCATTCCCTTCCCATGGACACCAAAGTCAGAGCCTCAAGTTGCCCCTGACAAATAACACAGTACGTGCATGTCACCCACACACCACCTCCGTGACACAAATACAGCAGAAATGCTACGTGAACAGCTATCATTTCACTTTATTGTTTTGGGAATAACAAGGAGAAAAAGGTCTGGCCAAGTGTGGTGGCACACGCCTATAATCCCAGTATCTGGGAGGCTGAGGCAGGAGGAGTGCCATGAGTTCAAGGCCAGCCTGAGTTACATGGTGAATCCAAAATCAGCCTGAACTACATGGTGAGACCCTGTCTCAAAAAAAACCAAACCAAAACAAAAAGAAAACAGTCTGGCCATACACACAGTGGCACATGCCTATAATCCTACCTACAGAGGAGGCTAAGGCAGGAGGATCACAAGTCCAATGCCAGCCTGGGCAATTTAGCAAGACCCTGTCTCCAAATAAAAAATGAGAGAGATCCAGGGAAGTGCTCCATGACAAGCACTGTCCGTGTCCAGTTCAGACACGGTCAGTAATTCAAATGTCTCTCATCTGTGCTGCAGAGGTGCACACTCCTGATGCACATACTGGGGATCTTCTTCCCCTGAAGAGGCCCATACTGCATCCACTCCATCCTGGTTACCAGCAGACACTAAAATCATTGAAGATTCTTGTACCTGAGTTTCTGAAGCCCAGGCAAAAACAGAAATCAAAAGTGAAGCCAGGCATGATGGTACAATGCCTGTAATCCCAGCACTTGGGAAGCTGAGGCAGGAGGATCCTTGTAAATTTGAAGCCAGCCTAGGCTACATAGTGAGTTCAGGACCAGCCTGGAATATACAGTAAGACCCTGTGCGTTAGTTACTTTTCTCTCATTGCTGAGAAAAAAACACCCAACACCCAAAGCTAAAGGGGAGGGATTCACTCAGCTCACAGTTCACAGAGGTTCAGTCCCTCGTCAGCCGGCTCGAAGGCAGGGATGGCAGACAGGCATCACAGAGGAGGAACAGAATGGTACAAGGTAGCAACAGCAACAATGGACCTGATCAGCATCCCTCTGCCCCTTTTATCTCACTCACACTCCCAGGATTAGGGTGCTGCCGACCCAATTACTCATGTGCAGTGGTTTAGTAACCATACGCCCTTAACCCCAGCATCACACAACCAAGATTCAGCTATCTTCAAAAAAGGCTGCATGAGGCTTTGGAGGGACATCTAGACACAGCCACAACACTCTGTCTCAAAACTGAGACAAAAAATAAACAAAAGTGAGGCCCGCTGGGGATACAGCTCACAGTACAGCATCTACCTGGCAAGCTTGAGGCTCAGTACAAAAAAAAAAAAAAAAAAAAAAA